TTTTTTTTTTTTTTTTTTTTTTTGCGGAATTTATGTCAGGGTTATTACAATTTGAATTAGCATTTTTTATATTATGGATTATTTAGAGTTTTGCTAGACGTGCGAAAGGGGACAAGCTCGGGTTTATTGCATTCATTTCGATGCTTTTTTTTCCACGCGAATGGTATATATATATATATACACACACAGTGTACGCAACACATATACGTACCTCAAAAAAAAAAAACAAAAAAAAACAAAAAAAAAAAAAGGAAATGTATACGACATGTGCACACACATGCAAGCATATAGATATGTCTATATATGTACACATAGATTTATATGTATACATATGTATATATATTTATATATACGACGTATACCTACGTGTAGGCCCCATGTACATATATACATCCATACGTATCAATATGCCTGCATGTGCCACTTGTACGCATATGCAAATGTATGTGTAATTATAATTTACCCCCCCCCAAACAGTATCATAGAAATACATTTACCCATTTATAATTAACTCATTTTTCTCCTATAAAGGTGTATACACTTATTTAGATTTTTATGTTTTGGCCCAATGCTAAAATACATGAACAATGTGAAAAAAAAAAATAAAATAAAAATTTCCTCATCCGTGGCAGCATCTTTTTTGTACATGAAAAAAAAAAAACAAAAAAACTGATAAAAAAAAAAAAAAAATATATATATATATATATCCGAAAAATTCCCACAACTCAAGGAAGAAATTAAATGCGTTATACTTCCTCGAATGACACAATGGGAAGACCAAATTAGAACAATATGATATTTAGTGGCAATTATTCCATTTGAACAAAGTGAACTGCTGTTGTGATAGCATTCCCTTTTTATCTGCACTCTCCAGTTGCGTTCAAAGGAACATGTCGCGTGTTTCTGTACTCACACGTCGTGAGGAGTAAATATCCTTTATGCTTCATTTTTGTTGTAGACCTCACGTTTGCCCAGACAAGGAAAATATTCATTTTCATATCCGCCGTGTGATACCATCGGTGACCACAAGCAGATGGAACACAAAATAGAAACAAAAAGACACCATTTTGTAAATCCCATTTTTATCATAAATATCTTTGAAAAGTATACATTCGCTCTTACTTCGGTTTTGCGTTATCTTACATAAAAAAAGTACAAAAAAAAAGAAAAAGTTCAAAACGCTTTAAACTATGTTTGTAAGTACTCTCTACATAGAGACGGCAACAAAAGCAGAAAAAATTAAGAACAATAAAAACGGTTTGCAAATCGAGCAAAAAGAAAGGACAGGGAAAACGAAATTGAAAAGGATACGCATTAACAGTTTGCACTTAAAAATAATTAGAACGAATAACACAAAGCTCACACGTAGAACAAAAAAAAAAAAAAAAAAAAATTCCCCATCCGGGGGAGCATTTTTTTTGTACATGAAAAAAAAAAAAAAAAAAAAGTTACATATAAATATGGAGAGCTATATCAAACAATAGCTGTTAAACACAATTTTACTCATATACACACGAATGCCATTTTAGCAAATACTCAAAATACATGTCGTTATAATGAATAAATTTTTTCAATTACAACAATTATGATAATTATAATGATGTAGAATTGGGGGATCATTCGAAGGATGCATATGTTCATACATGTGCATACATACAATTTTGTAAACAATACATGAATGAACTTTGGAAATTTTCCCAAACAAATTTAAAAAAAAAAAAAAAGAAGGAAAGCTATACGACTGAACTTATTTTTTTATAATCACTTTATAGGTAATAATATACGATATGGTATATAAGGACGTTTCATGATGATTTAAAAGTTGTGCACAACTCTTACCCATGCGCATATGCATATGTCTAACTTCAATTTATTCTTCATTCAATATAGCATCATACGTCTCACTTGATATATATATATATTTTTTTATATTATATTATACATGGAAGCGGATCATACAAAGCGAATACACACAGTTGGAAATTTGGACGATGCCTAGAATAAACATAAGTTATTAAAATGTTTCACATTTCTATCTTTTATACTTTTACACCATTTGGCAAATAATTCAGAGTCGCTGAGCAGTTGCTCTGAGGAAGTAGCACCAAATGAAAACAAGTCTTCGATCGATTCCCAAATGAAGATATTAGGTTGGTTGGGAATTGTGCCCTGATTTCTACCAATGTTCATCTGTTGGTTATTCCCACTGGCACCTCTGCTACGCACATTTTTTTCGCATGCATTTGGACGCGTATCTAAGAACAGATTGTGATTAATACTTTGGCTTATTTCGGGATTCACAGCTCCTCCTACACCACAGTTTCTATTAACCACCCCATGTTCTTTACTCCACATATTTTCATCATAACTTCTACTCATATGTACGTCCTGATTTATTCTCTTAGTTGGGTTTGTTTGGAAGTTCGGCAGATTAATGTCGAGGGCACTGCCACGAAATAATTCATATTTTGAAACTTCTTCCTCATCGTTAAGGTAATCCAAATGCAGAAAATTCATATCTACAATGGAGTCTTCCCAACTGTTATTTTCTTCCGACTCCTTCTTCTCGTATTCGCTAGAATATGTGTTTCCTGGGGAGGCGTAAAGAGCATCCACATCGAAATTCACTCTGTTACATATATTTAAAAAGTTATCATTCAGCTGGAATAAACCATTTTCCATCACTGTGCTGTTCTCGAATAGGTGTGTGCTGGACAGGACATCTGGAACCCTTTCTTCTTCTAATAGGAAGTTGTGTGTATGCTTCGTTCGTTCGTCATATGGAGCCTCTGTTCGCTCGATGGTGCGATTGCTATCTCGTTCTTTGCTCCATTTACCCTGACTACAATCTTGCAATAGATTGATTCCATGATCTTCTCTCAATTTTTCTCTACGGGCTTCCCACACTTGGGCGCCATGTTCGTACCACATTTTTCCTGGACGCTTGGCCCCACTCCTGCTTGCATCTCTTCGCCACATGTTACCCCCATTTCGATCCCACTTCTTGCCCCATTTTGTGCCAGGCAATATGCCCGTCTCATTTGTCCCTTTGACGGTCGGTTTTCCCTTCTGCTGGTAGTGTTGTGTGCCTAAACTAGAATCAACATCGGAGAGGGGAAGAGATTGCCTTTCGTTTTCCCCTTCCTTTGATAATCTTAAAGGTCTAATTTCTTCAATACCATGAGCAAATCTGCACTTATCCTGATTCATACATTTTTTCTTCTTCCAGAAATAACACAGAGTAGTTTTGTAGGTAGCTAGATCAGTACTTGGTTGCAACTTTTCAATTCTATGGGCATATTTACAGTTAGGGTTACAGCAGGGGATTTTTTTCTTAATGCTTTTGCACAATTTTGTATTTTCTAAGTTTGGTAGAGGTCTTAATTCTTCCAGCACATGAGCATAGTTGCAGTTGTCTTTATTTACACATCTGTTTTCTAGGAAGTGTTTGCAAATTTTGGTTTTCGTAAATTGGTATTTTATGTCAGCCGGTTGGTTCATCTTGCGAGTATTGTTTATTTGTGCCGGTGTATTCATGGGTGCGTTGTGCAGTGTGCAAAACAGTGCAGCTGTGACGAACAATAAAAGGTAAATAGAGAAGAAATGCAGCTGTGATTTGTTGCGGATAGAGATGTTAACTCGAGAACGAATGGGGCAGGTGGTATTAAATAATGTTTGTAAAAGTGTCTCCAAAGAAGCAAACACTATATGCATAATAAAAAAAAAAAAAATGGTGTAACGGGAACTACTACTGAGACATAAGACGGGTGGGGGGAGAGGTCTATATGATCGGTGTGTTACCTTAACGCGAAATAAATATATTTTCAAAAACAATTTTTACAAAACACTTGCGCACATGTACTGTAGGGCGCTTCTACTGAAACATGAGGACAAGTAAATTTTCGTAAAAACATAAGCAAATAGTTCCTATTAATATGTACAAAATTGTTGTGTGTCTATTAAAAAATGCCTTTTAAGTTTTACAAAATCATAAAAGTTATCTTAATGTCTATTAAAAGGTGATGACAAGTGGTACAATGAGGTGATAAAAGTCATTTGTATTTTGGGTAAATGTAATTTATAAAATAAAAAATATATTATATATTTACGTGTGTACTATTACAAATAAATGTGTGCGACGATTTCATCTTCATGCTTACAATTAAAAGCGGCCAAGATGGAGGGGCAAAAATTTAAGGTCAAATATGAGAAAAAAAGGCCCTTTTTGTTGATCACTATTAGATCACTATTAGATCACCATTAGATCATTATTAGATCATTTTTCGCTTCACGTTAATATATCTCTAAAAGCAAAATGTCGAAAAAGTCTACGTGAGCCCGTTGTTCGAAAAATCGCAAAAAAAAAAAATATATGTACTAAAAAATTACCCTTTTTTTTTCATGACATATGGTCAAAGTATTGTATACGTAATGGTGCTTGCACAAAATATGAACTTTTTTTGACGTTATTTTTTTTAAACATAACTTTTTGGTAATTTTGAGCCTTTTTAGACAAAAAGGACGTGAGTTGCATCGTGAAGGTTGTACCAGTTTGGTGCACGTACAAAGTGGTCGCATGCGGGAGCAGATCACTTCGAGCTACTGAGGAAAAAAAAAAAAAAAAATACACGTATGTGTATATATATACATATATACATGTGCACATATTCCTTTATACACTCACATGCGGCATGCAGAATTAACACACGTCTGCATGGGGCAAGGACGCTCGTGTGAACATTAACCAAGTGCACAGACAACTCTATTTTTTAATAACAAACAAATGAGGCAATCTCCTTTTTGAACAAAGTGGGCTGCACCAAATAACCCCTTTTCCCGCAAAGACATCTTCTCTTGTGCCTTAACGAAACAAAGGTGCTAAACAATTGCCCCCAATTTATCACCCGTTTCAACACGCCGTTTGAAAAAAAAAAAAACAAAAAAAAAAAAAAAGTCGGTGTGTATATATAAATAATGGTCACTCTGTCTTTACCATAAAAATGGATTTTTTTCCTCATAATAAAAACTATTCGCATTAAATTGAGGCCCAAAATTTTGTTCTTAAATGTATTTTCACCCTTTGGACAGGGGCATATCTGTTGTGTTGCCACTCTCACGGGCCATGCAACGGGATAACTGCGCGTGCAGGAATTGATGCATGTGCGATGTTGTTTGTACGCATGACTTCACGTGAAGGGCAGTAAATTTATCAACTATCTATATAGAACCTCCCGTAAATATTGCAACGCCTTTAATGGAGGAAAAAAGGAGGAACAAACAGATAGACGCACATTTATGTTAAAGGGTTCCCCATGCGAAAGATGCCAATTTGGGTGTAACTCCGCGTTGGACTTTCCTCATCATGGTGTTTAAAAATTAAAAAATAAAAAAAGGATTAATTAAAATTTGCATTAGTTTGAAAAAAATATCAAAATAGGGGTTAAACCCCAACTGAGGAATAGGGTTGACGGAAAAATTGTCTTAAGCGTCACGACTACACGAAATTGATGGCGAAATGGCAGAAGAATGACCACCTCTTGGCATGTCCGTCGCAATGCAAACCCCCCACCACGACAGTTTCCCGTCTACCCATTTATAACCCTATACAGTGTTGTAATATTAGAAGGTAAAAATTTTGTCAATGGTTGCACAACACATATGTTTGCTCAGGCTTATATACATATGCATATGTGCATGTAAGTTGACACGTGTACGTGCCCTTTATGTTAAGTTTAATTAAAAAAAAAAAAAAAAAATAGGGGCCCGCTGTGGAGGAGCGCGGCAAATATAACCATAAGACGATAAAACCATAAAGCGATAAAACGATAAAACTAAGCGACGTAAAATGGAAAGTGAAAGAGGACTATAAACGAATTAAGTCTAACGAATTAAAAAGTCAAAAGGTGATACCATATGCTCGTGTTAAACATTCGGGCAAGGCGCTGTGACAAAAAAAAAAAAA